GTCATTCTTCGAACATTCTGCCTATTTCTCGTTGTTCGCTTTGTGTTCCCGCAGTATTCGCCACAATACATAGATAATATACCATACAGCACAGCTGCATGTGCACAGCACATCCAAGCAGATCACAGCACAGAAAAATCACTATCACAGCACAGCAAAAGCACTATCACAGCAAATCGAAAGCAATAAATAATTTTCAATAAACTGCCAGTAACAAAAAAAAAAATACAGTTTTCAAAGTCCCAGAAAAATCAAAGCAGTTCGAAGGGAAATCAAAAATTTCAAAGCGAAGCTAAAGCAAAAATAGTAGTGCTGTTGCTGCTGTGCTGATAGTTTTTCAAACCCTGCCATTTTTCCTAAAAAAATTCGTGGTATAAAACTCAATAACCTTGTTGAAATAAATATCATTACACCACAATAATAATAACAAAAGATATTTATTTTCTATGGATTGTACAGCAAGTCTGCGAACAAAAACTATTTTTCCCATGTAAAATATATGGAAAACTTCAAAGCCGGGCGGCACGGTTAAATATTGACCGTGGATTTGAATGTGCATTTTTGGGCCACCCCAATGTACATATACGAACTTCGATGGACTTTAGGCTTGCCTTAACATTATCCAACTGACTTTAACTTTGTCATCCTCATCCTTTAGTGAATTTTCACTAATATTAAATTAATCTTACAATACTCTTATATATATTACATGTATATAGACTTTTAATATACCTACCTACATGTGTATGTGCATATTTTTTACATTAGGCTGCCTCACCTACAGCTAATTTTACAAAAGCAATTTAAGTGAAAAATTATTTTAATTTTTTGAATTTCATATGGAAATTGACAGCAAATAAGAAATCATTTTCCACTTAAACTACAGGTGAAACCGGGAGTTAATTTTTTAAGATAACATTTAATTTAATTTTGATATTCACAAAAAAGTAAACTAAATTTTTTGTGTTAAACCAATTTATTAAAAGCATTAAAATAAAATAAAGATTAATATATGTATTTATTCAGTTAAAATTTAAATTGGCTGTCGTAAATATTTAATAGTTCAGTGATACTTGAGTCTGGAGATACACGTTACACCCGACGAAGCTAATGGTACCCTTGTTACAGCCATACCTAAACAAAAGCGTCAGCGTTGTCTGGCTGTCAAAAAAATGCTCATGCCCATACAATTTGTATGAAGTATACCGAAATAACGCGGCATCAACGCTTAGCGGTTAGAAAATCCGATTTTGACAGGGCGTTAGGAAGTGAAGTTGGCTGCAGAAAAACGGCGAAACTGTCATTTTCGGAGTTCACACAAAAAAAACTATGCTTATTGCTGGTATTATTTCTTCATTTGATGTAGCGTTCCGCTTTTGTTTAGGTATGGCACTTCGGCGTTAACGATAGGCGCCAAAAAACGCTCAGCGCACAACTTTTGTTTAGGAATGGCAGTTAGCATATTAAAATTTGTCGTCACGAGAACTCCGGGTGCATGAAATATTTGAAAATATATGGCTCATTCCACGATAATGCATTTAATGATTTATATACTTTTATTTTCGGATAAAAGCGACTATGTTGGTCATGCCCGTCACATATCACACCCGCCTCAATTCAAAGTTAGGCAAGTTTTAATAAACTCAACCAAGGACTGCTACGATTACTTATTTGCTAATCTGCGAGGTAGCATATATCTGTGTGTGAGCATCGATGGGAAAACTTAGCTATGCTGCACCAGATACAAAGAAACCGTTACTTCACTTGTCACGATAAAAACAGTATCTCATACGGTTTGACAGGTAACAGGCTTACGAAAAGTGTAGTACTATTTAAAAATAAGGTACTTTGCAAGCGAGCGAGGATTATCCCGTCTTCAGATGCCAGAATCTTTTGTGTGTTTGTAAAATCCGATTATTTGAGAAATACAGTTAGTTCAATAGTCTGTTTTTATTTATTCATGCTCAACTTGTCACACTCGTCACAAAGCCACAGTTGAGCTTGGTACAGATAATCTATACTTTCAATTAGAGGTAAGCCACTTCGGCATAAATGTTAAAAATGTTTATTTAACTAAACAATGAACTATTTAAAACCATAAGCAGAAGACACTTAGCAATTTTGCTATTTTTCTTTTGTTCATTTAATGTTTATAATGTTTTTTATAAAATTCTAGCACATTACATAATCAGCACCACATGAATCCACATTTCAAACTTCGTACAAAATTATAAAACTTTAACAATTACACCCAAATAACTTAGCTATGCAGTTTTATAGCCCATAATATTTTAGAAGGTTAAAGTGCAAATTTCGAGACACTAGAAAATCGTGTTGATTTTTGATAATTATTTGGCTGACGCTGTTGTGGATTCTAAGCTTAAACCTTAAAATGTAAGTTGAAATGTCATACTCGTCACCGTGGAATGAGCCATATGCACTGAAATTTCATCGACATCGGATGAGCCTTCTACGTCTGCATAAAAAAATCGCTTTTAAAAGTGTCTTAAATATTTATATTGATATGCATTTAAATAAGGGGATAAATAACTTTCACTTGATGCAACTTTTGTTACGTAAAAGAAATGTGAAGAGAATGAATTTTACAACAAAAAAATTAGTTTGAATTTTATTTTAAGTAAATAACAAATTTTAATTTTGGTTTTGTTCTCCAGTCGTCACTGTCCAATTTGTATGTAGAATCGCTCGCTGATTCCAAAAATCGAGTTAATTTTTTCCTTTATGGATACATTTTCGAGATATTTGCAATTTACTGTTATTCGGCTTTTAAAAAAGAGTTGTTCGACTTAATATCGCATATCTTACGAACCAATGGAATAACACTGGTTTACGGCAAAAATGTTTATTGGATGCCACTATCCAATTTCTATGTAGAATTGCTCGGTGATTCCAAAAATCGAGTTAATTTTTTTTCTATGGATACGTTTTCGAGATATTTGCAATTTACTGTTATTCAGTTTAAAACAAAAAGTGGTTCCACTTAATCACGTATATCTTACGAACCAATTTAACAATCTTAAAACGAGATACGTCAAATCAAAGCTAATAAAATTCCATAAACCATATATGCATCATTGTTCGATAGGACTGATAGTTTCTGACAAATTAATTAATCATTACAGTTTTTTTTATTTATTCATGAAAAAATTAAAACAATCAAACTTTAACAGAAGAAACATTTTAAAAATTACAGGTTCTGTGTCAATTTTTTGCATTTGTGCTAAAGCCTGTTCTGTTATAAAAAAAAATCAAGTTACTAATGAAGGAAAGCGCGGGATAAATGAAGAAGTAATGAGTGGTCAAATGAAAATACGCAATTTTTTGTACGAAAAATGAGGAGGAAAGAAAGCTACTCATACGCCACGTACACCTCAGGATTTTATTAGCTTTGATTTGACGTATCTCATTTTATGATTGTTAAATTGGTTCGTAAGATATACGTGATTAAGTGGAACCACTTTTTGTTTTAAACTGAATAACGGTAAATTGCAAATATCTCGAAAACGTATCCATAAAAAAAAATTTACTCGATTTTCGGAATCACCGAGCAATTCTAGAAAGAAATTGGATAGTGGCGCCTGGAAAACAAAAACCAAACTAAAATTTGTGATCCAGTGTAATTTTAAATTTTTTCCCTGTTAAAGTTTGAATCTTTTCAATTTGTTCACCAAAAAAAACAAAAAATCTTAAATGATTAATTAATTTCTCAGAAACTATCAGGGCTATCGAAAAGTGATGTATGTATATACGGTTTATGGAGAATTTTATTTGCTTTCATTTTCTGTATCTCGTATTACGGTTATTTAATCGGTTCGTAAGATATACGTGATTAAGTGAAACCACTTTTTGTTTAAGCTGAATAGCGGTAAATTGCAAATAACTCGAAAAGTTATAAATAGAAAAAAATAATTATTTCGATTTTCGGAATCACCGAGCAATCCTACATAGGAATTGGATAGTGGCATCTATAGAAGATTTTTGCTGTAAACCAGTGTAATTAACAATGTTATAAAACCAATTGCTTTTGGTCAGGCAACCCAATGTTCATACAGAAATATCTATGCGTGTATATGAAATGTCTTATATAGAAATACTAATATGTATACATATCCACATACGAATGTATTTTTAATTTTAAAAGGTACATATGTCGTGTATTATGTACATACAAGTGCACTCACGTTAGTATATAAAGTAAAAGATTTTTAAAGATAAAGGGATAGTTTCAAAGCAATTCACTCACCATCTGGATCCAACATCCTTGGAATATCAAGATATTTCTCAGCAACATCAAAGGCAGTGTTGAGATTTTCCAATGGATTGTCTTTGGAGAGTTTGGAATAATCAATCAAGTCCGGCCTATGCCGGTGAATCAAGGCGCAGAATGCTAAACCGTCCTATAAAATAAATTGTGTGTTAATGCATGTCTAGGAATTGTAATTAATAATTTGTTAATTATTTTGGTTCTTGCCTTGAATGACAGATGGAAGTTTTGAACATTGACGTTCTTATAAGGAGCCGTTTTGCGTTGGCACCACAACAACAAGCCTTCTTTAGCGGTCATCTCTTCAACGGAAATATCCTGAATAGCAAAACGTAAAATGATTGTCCATATCATGCCCAGCGTCATCTTTAGATTTCCATCAACGATTTCCTCAGCGCCTATCGATACCAAATGCACGCCCTTCGATGCAATGAAATCCAGGGCTTTGTTTACATTAGCGATCTTATGGAAGCGCATCTTGCCACGATCAGGTTTTGGCAAGGTTTCACCCGAAATTACTTCAAGCAGCAACATAAGCTTCAGCCCATTGCGAAAGTCCTCATCAATGTTATCGATGGATGTTCCAGCTTTTCGCAGATGGCTATTACACCATGCAGTAAATGTCTATACATACAATCAAATAAAGAAATATCCATTTTAGCGCCTCTTAAATTCCAAATATTTAGTTAATTTTAACTATTTAGCAACGAAATGAAAGAAGCTGTGCCGAACTGCTACTACTATTTACTTATGAATGAACGCGATCTGGTTTTTTAAGGATGGTTTACAACAATGCCGGCCAAAACGTCCACACTGGGCCTCAACTCAACTTTGTGATGGAGTGAGCTTAAGCTCAAGAATTTGTGCTGAAAATCCCATTGTGTAGTTTTGCCTTCGTGTTTTCACATCAACGCTAACGATGTGTAAGACTCCTACCTAACTGGCCGTCTTCACCTGATTGAAAATCTATTTATTTTCTCGCAAGCGAGATAGAGTTTTGATGACTGGGCATTTGACAGCATACTTTTTCATTTGTAAAATGTCGGCAAAGAAGAAAGTTCGAACCTTGCAAGCTCTTAAAAGTTTAAAAAAATTAAAAAATCTGCATAAAGAAAATCTGCCACCAAAATAAACGATGTTGCTACTCTGAAAAATTCTGCGAAATGAGAATATAGCTGTCAAATAACAACGATGACAGTTGAAAGCAAACGAGAACTTGCAAACCGCTTTTTCAACTTTGTCGATGTCTTTACGCATTATTTTATAAAGCAGCCATACTAGTCCTGAATTGATTGAAAGACAACTTTTAATAAGTTGCCTAGTGGAGTTAATTCATTACGAGCGATGGATTTTTTATTTTTTTTATAACTGCATTCTCGGATTACGTAAATCGTATTTTTTAACCGACTTCCAAAAAGGGAGGAGGTTATCAGTTCGTCGGAATATTTTTTTTTTTTTTTTTTTTTGATTATGTATGTTACCGCATAACTTTGGACCACGTCAACCGATTTCGATAATTCTTTTTGCATCAGAGGTGGTCCCAAACTAATCTGGTTGAGATCCGATCAGTGGATCCTGAGATATATATATATATATTTTTTTTTATATGGGAGTTGAAGTCGGTTTTTTTTTTGCTAAAAATTACTTGTTTAATCCTCTTTTTGGCTACGTCAATTAGAGATAACAAATCGTCGACTTAAGAGTATATACCTTGGCACGAACCGCGGCATTCGATATCGAAAGCAACTCGGACATAAATTTGATTTTCGGCATTCGATAGCGAGTACGCATCGTCAATTTAAATTAAATTGGGGCGAAAACAGCTATAATTTTATACGTTTCGATTCGAAACGAGTTATCATTCGGTCACGCATTCCGCGGTTCGGGCCCTGCTGACACCTTCAAAGAAATTTTACAGAGCAGACAAAAAAGTACTTAGTGGAATCGCGATAATTTGTACCCCGTTAATTCCCAAATCTAAAATTTTTTAACAATCCGTAGGTGCATTGTAAAAACCTTGTTAATTGAAAAAGCTGGGTCCCTCGTTAATTCGTATTTTTATGACAATGCTGGTTATGTTGAACCTCCTATAATACATAACTGGTTGTTGATAATCTCCTGTAACTCGGAAGGCTAAAACATACTGGAGTGGCGAGCACAGAGAACGAGCAAATGTCGATTACAAACGTACACGTTTCTATCGGATGGCGCATAGCGAAGAGCAAGGCATAGATAAGTGCGCTTCCATTGCAACATACTGCGGGTAGAGGGCAGGACGCCCGTGATTAACATGATACGCGCTATCCAATCTGCTTTTTAAGTGGACTTTTCTAGGGCCAGCCACCATACGGTGATCCCATAGAAAAGGATGGGTCGAACAACCGCCGTATACACTTAGTGTAATATGTGTGGTTTCAGACCCCATAGCTTCCCCACCGCTGCTATACACAGGCGTAGAGGACGGTTATGGCTTTCCGAAAGAAAATTGTTAAAGGCGCCCCGCTGTGTTCTGTTTTGGGAAAAAATGGACAAAATCAAATATCTCCCGATCCAAACCAGATAGAGACATAAACTAAACGGCATTATAAAGCCCAAATATTTATGAATATAGGAAAATTATTCAGATTCTTCAAAAACAGTTTCTCGACCTTGAATTTTAAGGTCAAAGTTCAACAAAAAACAAGTAAGAGCAGCGCTGTCTTCGGCTATGCCGAAGGCTTCATACCTTTCATGAACATCTGCAAATTTTAGTTTGACAGGTTACTGATTTTGAATACATCTGCATACATCGATAGAGGAGTTACATACTTATATAAAAAATCGCATCTAAACAATCAGAGGTATGGAAGATATACTTTATATGGCACCAATCTAAGTGATTTTCACTGCTATGTGATCGGTATGTAAACCGGTAACACAATTTATTGGATTTAGTTTCCTTCATAAAGGAGATATATCGCAAAAACTGGTATCTGAACAATCAGTGCTATAGGAGATAAAGCTTATACAGCATAGATTTTGACGATTTTCTCAGTAGACTTTGTATTATTATTTATAAAATATCTTACGAAATTTAGCGGTTTTAGCTGTTCAAATAAAGGAGTTTTACAGTAAAATCCCATATCTGAACAATCAGATGTATGGAATATATATGTTGTAGTCACCCGATCCTTGTTATTTTCACTGTAAGTATTCTGTTAATAATGAGTGAAAATGGTGCGAAATTTCATGTTCCTAGCTGCATAAATGGAGGAGTTATGATAAAAGACCTCATATCTGAACAATCAGTTGTATAGGGGCTGCAGGCTATAGTGACCCGATCTTCGTTATTTTCACTGTAAGTCTTCTGCTGATAATGAGTGACCACAGTGCAAAATTTCATGTGCCTAGCTACATAAATGGATGAATTATAACGAAAAATGTCATATCTGAACAATCAGTTGTATGGGAGCTATATGTTATAGTTATCCGATCTTTTTAATTTTCACTGTAAGTTTTCTGTTGATAATTATTATGCGGAATTTCCTGTTCCCAGCTATATAAATGGAGGAGTTATAACGAAAAATTTTATATCTGAACAATCAGTTGTATGAGAGCTATAGGTTGTAGTGAACCGATCTTTGTAATTTTCTCCGTAAGCATTCTGTTGATAATGGGTGCAAGTGCTGCAAAATTTCATGTTCGTAGCTGCATAAATGGAGAAGTTATAACGAAAAATCTCATATCTGAACAATCAGTTGTATGGGAGCTATATGTTAAAGTGGTCCGATTCTTCCGGTTCCGACAAATGATTAATACATTATAAAAATACACCCACCTACCAAATTTGATCCGGATATCTCTAAAACTGAGAGACTAGATTGCATACAAACAGACAGACAGACGGACAGACGGACAGACGGACATGGATAAATCAACTCAGCTCGACGATCTGATCATATAAGTATACATTTTAATGGGTCTATCTCTTCTTATTCTGGTACTTACAAACATCGGACCAAAGTTATAATACCAGTTCATGCTCATGAAAGGTATAAAAATTTTATATAAAAGCAAATATCTAGCGATCGAAAATTAATAGAGACCTAAATGAAATAGTATTTTAAACTCCAAATATTGCTTAAAAGAGCTAAACTGTTTCGATTCGTCAAAAATGAATTCCCTATCGTGAATTCCGAGGTTAATAGTCAACAAAAAATAAATAAAAATTGTCTGACTTAAACATAGCTAAATGTTTTTTAAATCGTTTTATACGATATACATACACATAAATGCACATATCTGTGTTCGTATGGAAAAGTAGCTTATGTCGAAAGGCTGGCTTTAGTATAAATCGGCATTCGCAGCATACGATTGCGAATTACTCACTGGCGGCGAGCCGTTGAGAACTTATGGCAAATAAACGTGCAAGAAATAGCTCCGATACTAGCAAGTCAATATTCTTATTAAGTCTCATCAAAAAATTCTTTGTCGCTTAAAGAATAAAGGGAATGCCGCATTATACTAAAGCCGACCTTTCGACATAAGCTACTTTTCCATACGAACACAGATATTTATGTGTGGTGGGTCATATCTATATATTTTTACCCACCAAACAATTTTTGTTGCCGGAAATAAGAAAGCTTGTCGCCCTCAGCAACAAAGTTATTGCCAGCAATATCGCCATCGTATCGATTTCTTATTACCTGTCGCTCTAAAACGTCCGCCGCAGGCAGCTCGCCTGGGCGAGTCGTTTTGTTATTACCTGATTGAGTCGTTTTATTATTGCTACAGGCGATATTTGAATAATAATTTCTTGCAACAATTTTATTATTTTTTAATATTTCCTTTGCTTTTGAACACAAACTTAAAAGTTCTAAACGAAATTAACTTTTTTCGTCGCTATGTAGCTTCCTATTTTTTCAACACTGTCTTGGGCATAAATCATATGTTTTTGAAGAATCCCGTTGACCCGAAGTTCATCAGTTTGAGAATTTTTGAAAACATTTTCCTAAAATGACATAAAAGAAATAATGTTGCCGATTTCTCACTACGACAATAAATCGGCGAGTCGCTAATTTGTTGCCATTGACGATTCTTGCCTATTTCTCATGTTTTGCATGGAGGGTACATTTGTGTATGTTTGTGTGGAAGTGTGTGCGCAGTAACCCAGTAAAAATCGGTTGTATGCATTCATGAAATATGCATGCTGTATGAGTGAAATAGTGGGAACAATTCATGCGTAGTCATGAATTTCCACAAACTTTCTACATACATAACGTGAATATAGGGGATTATCTAATCAACAATATATTTCCATGCTTCCATCTTCAACACCATCAGCATCATGGTTTGTAGTAGTTCTGTATGTAGAGTCACTAAATTACTACGCACACACACATACACACTTACACACAAACATACACACGCACACAAAGAGTCAAGTTTACGCTGCCCTTAACCCTCTAAGGCTGGTTTTTTAAAATAGCGAGCATAGACTTTGCAAAGTAGCGTTTTCGGCTAAATTTAGGCTTCTGATTTATAGACAAGTAATTTTTAAGAAAAAAACTAGACCGACTGGAATTCTCATATAAAAAGTTAGAAGTACCGTTATTTTTTTTATGATCCAATCGGATCTAAACCAG